TCTTTCTTTCTTTCTTTCTTTCTTTCTTTCTTTTTCTTTCTTTCTTTTTCTTTTTTTTCTTTCTTTTTCTCTTTCTCTCTCTTTCCCTCCCTCCCTCCCCTCCCTCCCTCTTTAAAAAACAAACTGCATTTTCTGGGTATGTGAAATCAAATGACTGAAGTGGTCAACCAATACTTGCTAGGCTGCTGCCATCTAGCTGAGCTTTCTGTATATGAATGAGAAAGAAATAGAATGGGTCTGTGTTTATCCCTGAAATGTTCGTTTGTTTAACCTTTGGTTGCATGCATATAGATACCGTGAGAATGGAATAAACGTGCAAGCACACGGCGCTCATATAGCAGCGTTTCTCAACCTTGGCAACTTGAAGATGCCTGAGTGTCAAGTCTCAGAATTCCCCAGTCAGAATTTCCAGAATTCCCTCCCCCATCCGCTGGCGAGGGAATTCTGGGAGTTGAAGTCCACATATCTTCAGCATGGCAGGATTGAGAAACACTAACCCCGTGGAATGCAATGCATTCATCTTGTTTGCTGCAGTACAGAACAAATGCCTCAATAAAGGTCTTACTGGAACTTGGTAATATTTTAGTGTTTTTTGGGTGCTGTTCCCTAAGTCGGTTTTCGAACCTGCACACAGGTTCCCAGAGCTCTTTCAGAAGTTGTTACTGAATTATTTGCGAGGGGTCAGAAAGGGGAAAAGACATATATGTAGGATGCAGATATGTTGATTATTCTTATGCTGCTGACTTTCACTGGCCTTGAACTAGCTAAGCAGGGTAAGAAATGAATAGTGCTATGCTATCCACCCAGCTATTGAAATACTTTGTATTGTTTGAGTATACATGAAAAGCATTTGAAAGCCGATCTTCACTCTCAACTTTATTGTGGAGAATTATCTTCCTCCTCTTCCTCCTCCTCCTCCTTTTCCATCCCCTCTTCTTCCTCTTCTTCTTTTTCTTCCTCCTCCTCTTCCTCCTCCCCCTCCTCTTCTTCCTCCTCCTCCTCCTTTTCCTCCTTCTCCTCCTCCTTTTCCTCCTTCTCCTTCTCCTTCTTCTCCTCCTCCTCCTCTTCCTCCTCCTCTGCATCTCAACCAGCCTTCTATTTTAAAGTCCCAAATTAGCTCCTTTTCGCTTGTGTTTTATTAGTATATACCAAATATACCTTGTTCAGCCCCAAAGAGAATGAATCTATTGCTCTGGTTTTGAGGCAAGGAGTGAACCAGCCTCCCTGGGTTTATGGGATTATCAACTTCAGCATCAATAAGCTTTTCCAAAAGCAAATGACATGTATGTAAATGTTCTACAATAAACTGTCTCCACCCGTCTCTTGTATTCTTTGGAGGGGAGAGATTGGGGTAAACACAGTGCAGTGATGCTGCGCAATACATTTCTGCTGATGAATGCAGCCAATAATAACATAGTTTTATGTATCATTAATTCTTTTAGCCTCCCAAACAATAAGTTTTTCTGAGTACAGATAATGCAGTAATCACTCACAATTGCCAATAGAATTAGCAGCATTCAGCTGTGTAAAACAACATCTAGACTATGAGTTTTTAGCCTTTAAAAGGCAGCAAAAGAAAATAAATAATTCCCCCCCTACTCCTTTAATATTCACATTAAATGCAAAGCTGCATCAAAGCCATGGGTTATTCTGGCCTTTAAACATTGGACAGTGTAACAAGCCAGTTCAAACCACTTTGGTGCAAAATAGCAGAGCTTGTATATTTTCGGACTGCTGCCCCTAATTTTCTACTAAAAAGAATGATAAACATAAACACTCTACTTTGAGAATGATAAACAATATAGTGTAGCTTGCTCCAATTTGGTGCCATCTAATGGTAGATTTCAAAACTCCCACCATTGTGAACAACATGTATCACTTTCACTGACTTCTACATCCTAGATGAACAAATACCTGGTACTAAATTCAAAACAGAGCAAAAGGCAAGTCAGCATTATTATCAAAGCTTTTCAGCTACTTCAGTTTAGAGAAATATGCACTTGGCCAAGTACGAATCTGAATTCTGATTCAAAGAAGGGCTTTGCTGCAGTAAGACTACTATAATGTGCATAGAGTTTGCCCCCCAAAAGGTCTGGATCGGGCAAATCCTTCATGATATTCAACCCAAATCATTTATTGGGGAGAAGAGCATTGCTAACAATAGGGCCACCCATCAATATGTGCCTTAAAGAGTTCTGGGGGTAGAAAATCTTCTCTAGGAGCCACACTAGATTTCAGAGATTGAATAATGAATTTGATTTCTGAAACTAACACCAGAGACCAGGTAGAAAGATTTTCAAAAGTTAGAGTATCAGTAATTTGCTCACATGAGAGGCCCTGGTCAGGAATAGTAAATAAAAAGGGAACTCCCGGTAAGGAATAAGTGCATAAAAATCCTCTCAAAATGAAGCTGAAAGGGGAAAATCAGATTAGAATTCATGTTACTTCGATAAACCTGATGAAATATTCCAGAAGGAAACTGTCCTTTTTGCTGAAAATTCCAAATCTGGCCATATTTTGCCTATGAAAGTAGCTTCTTCAGAGGCTATCAGTTTCTTGTAATCACATGTAATTTTTAACATTTTTTTTAATGGTAGGGCTCTCTAGGGCTGGTGCAAGCAGTCAGAATAACCTCAGGTTTATTTGCTGTTGGTTTCTAGGAAGTTTATCTGCAGGAAGTTTATCTTAAAATTTTTCTCAGTGAAATTCACACAGATCAGTATACTGAGTCAGAATTTTATTAGGACCTTGGATACAGAAGGAAATTGAGTTTCTGAGCCTGTTCAGAGTTCAGAAAGATTGATGTTGCCTTAGTGTCTTCTTTGGCCCAATTGAGCCTTTTAGTTTGCCTGACTTTGAGATTAGCTAATCGTCTTTTATCATGTGATACAGATAAACTAGCATCACATCTGGCTTGGAAAGTTACTGCAAAATCCCCCTTCCCACCTCACCCCACTAACCTGCTTTCCAGCTCCGTTTTCCTGTACAGGGCAACAAAAGAAGACCCAGTCGATCAGCTGGGACTTGGGAGGCAGAGAATAGATGAGGACAGGGCCAGTCAGAAGTGGGATTTGCCTCTTCTCGGAACTACTCAACATTTCTGCTACCGATTCTCCAGAACTGGTCAGAACCTGCTGAATACCACCTCTGGTTGGAAGGGACCTTGGAGGTCTTCTAGTCCAACCCCCTGTCTAGGCAGGAAACCCTACACCACTTCAGACGACATCTTTTTAAAAATATCCAGTGCTGGAGCATTCACAACTTCTGGAGGCAAGTTGTTCCACTGATTAATTTCTCTGACTGTTAGGAAATTTCTCCTTAGTTCTAAGTTGCTTCTCTCCTTGATTAATTAATTTATAAGAAAATTTTACAGCTCAATAATTAGGAGAGTTATCTCCACAAACTAATTCCAGTCCTTGCTAGCCCAACTCTGCCTTGGCAAGTGTAGTCAGTCTTCCTGATGCCCGCTCTTTAGTCTTATACTTCCTTGCAGGAATACACCAGGGTCAAAATTAATCATTTCCTTATTTGTAGTTGCCCCGTCTCCTGGAGTGCTATGAAGTCAAGATTAGAGAAGAACTGTGCCAGGTCCCCATCTATTAGTTTGTTCCTCCAGCCAGCAATATTCCAAGTCAGTAACTTAATATTAATGTATTAATATTAATTATTAATGGTAATATTAGTGAGGGTAGTATTGGAATTGGAACATGGGTTTTTCACTCATTCAGCAGCAGTAATATTACCCCACATTTAAAACTACAAAATGCTACTGATTTCCTGGAAGCCTGCCATTCAGCCAAATCAGCCATCAATAGTCACATAGAGATAAACCAATTTTACATACCATTCAAAAGAGACAACTAAGAAGGAAACAAAAAGACCAGAATACATCCTCTCTAGCACCTTACCCCCAAATAAACAAGGATTAACACCTCACAATCAATCAAGCAGAAAACAGTACCCTAATCAAAGAACTACCAGAAAATCATACTCCATCATCCTAGCAGGAAAAGCTACCCTATACTGCATAACAAGGGGCAGATCTCAGGTTCACTATTACTGATGGTGTTATCTAGTCAGGTAATGGAACATCTGGAAGCCAACAACCAAGAGAACACCAAGGATTCCACAAATAGGATAGTAAATAACATCACATGCTGTAGCAGTGTTAAACCTTGTGCATGTTCAACTAACGGAGAGAAGAATCTCCCTATTGATCAGAAAAAAATATTGAAGTGAAACCTCCTGAACTCATATAGTCTCCCTCTCAAAGTTAGAACCGTTGACTGTCTGGGTTCTCAATTATTTAAGGAGCCTACACAAAATCAAGCGAAGACTTCTAACCAATGTACAATTTGATCTTGGTATACTTTATGTTACAAGGAAAGTCTTCTAAATTCATTATTATTATTTTTCTATGCAATGGAGATGGAGGATGGGAATATGGTAGAAGACAGAAAACATGAATGTCCATTGAGCCATCTCCCATAAGGGTGAATGAGTAGAAAGAGAAATGCCTCTGTTCTGCTTATTAATGTCTGGACGGCATAAAGCAGACAGAGTAACTCCACAAAGCATCCATACAAAGTCTTTTTATTAGTTCATCAGGCATCCTATCAACTCACATTTATGATGAGGTTCTTCTTAATGTCCAATCCTTTGCATATCTGAATTGTGGTGTAGAAAGATAATAAAGTCTCAACCCCATGATGACTGAAGCAACTGCATGGTATGGTGGATTCAGGCAAGAGTGAGGGAGCCTCCCCCAACCCAACAAGGGTCAATTTAGTGACCAATCCAGATTACAGATGTGACCACATGACATGGACTACATTTCCCAGGATGCCTTAACTACATTTACCATGATGCATTCCCTTAAGGGGACAGTTTACAATTCCTAACTAACTATCCCAAATCCCATTAACTCTAAACTGTCTGGACATCACAGCCTCAACTGGGCACATAAAATACAAAAAAAGAGGACCAGTCTTCCATGGCAATTTGCAGAGGTGAATAATTTATTCAAAAGATGACCCCTTTGACCGAACAATGAATATTCTGGGATCAAACTTGTGTCAGACATTCCTTGATATTCTATCATTTTTATAAGTCCAGATGCATCATTGATCTGCAACTTGCCTCTCAGATTCAAAGGACTTTCTTCTGTTGCTCTTTGTTAGACAGCATCTCAACTTCTTTCATGAACCGAAGGCATAATTCCTCCTGCCATGGTAAAGCTACACATTGAACTGCCACAGGAAGTCCAACAGCATCTTTGACTGCCTGAAAGAGATCATGAAAAATCAAAAGCAGTCAGATAGCTCAGGTCCAAAAGGTTCAAGCTTTTTTTGTTTTTTTAATATTGCAAAGTGATCTTGAGCAAGTATCCTTGGAGTACACCTCCTGTCTCGGGTAAGTTTTCAAAGGACTGCAACCCTTAACTTCTCAGATTCTTAGTTGAGATTATTAATAAAACAGTTTGCAACATATGATTCTTTCTCTTGTATGCCTTGGAAGCCAATCATCCCAAAGAGGTAAAATATAAGAGATAAAAGACTTAAGCGCCTAAACAGAAAAGTGAAAACCCACACTAACTGTTGACCATCTTTAGTTTGATGACCAGGATAGGTAAACTGTTTAACCAAATATTTGCTGCCCCCCACCCCTCAAATTCAGTAGATTTATTTAAAATGGATTTAAATCATTTTTTTTTGCCAAGATTTAATCCTGGCCTTGGGAGAAAATATGGAAAATTATCCTTCCCTAAAACATAATGGTTAGAATCCTGGATTCTTAGATTAAGCCTTTCTCTCCTTCCAATTCTCAACTTGCTTGGTTTCTCCCCCTTTGAAAACAAGAAGAGAATTTTCAATTCATATATTTTACAGCTGAAAATAGATTTGCTCCAAAAAATTCTCTTCAAAGCTTTCCTCTGAAATTGAAAGCCATAACTTTCTAGACAGCATACTAAAAAGCAGAGACATCACCCTGCCAACAAAAGACAAGAAACAAAAGTGCGTATAGTCAAGGGTATGGTTTTCCCAATTGCAATGTATGTCTGTGAAAGTTGGACCATAAGGAAGGCTGTTAGGAATGTAAGTCACCTAACAGTTATTTGGGTTGGAAATATATAAACCAGGATATAAACCGTTTTAATACTGTATCTTTAAGAGCATGCAAAAACTGTAATTGTGTGTGGTTCCGCAAATGGCCATAAGATGGAGCCAGAAACCTGGGTTGTTTAGTCTCAGTGAGTTTCTGTTCCTTTCTGTTGGAGAGAGTTGCCTTCCTCCTAATGATTGTTACTGAACGTTGATGTAAGTCTGTTACTGAACTGTTTTTTGATACTGGACTTTGATATTTGGATTATCCCTGAACTGAACACTGACTGCCTTACCTGTGAATGACTTGAACTACTTATCTTGGACTTTGCTTAAACATTTATTGGAAGTAAAAACCTACATTTACTGTACAGTGTATCTGTGTGCTGTTTGTGTGTTATTCTTCACCACTCTCACTACATCTCCATGTATGCACTCATTCTCCTAACGGGGAATTACCTCAACAAAGGCTGAGCGCCAAAGAATTGAGGCCTTTGAACTATGGTGCTGGAGAAGACTCCTGCAAGTCCCTTAGACTGCAAGCCAATCAAACCTGTCAGTCCTAGAGAACCTGACTGCTCTTTAGAAGGCCGGATCCTGAAGATGAAACTCAAATAAATACTTTGGCCACCTAATGAGAAGGAAGGACTCACTGCAGAAGAGCCTAATGCTGGGAAAGATTGAAGGCAATAGAAGGGGACAACAGAGAATGAGGTGGCTGGATGGAGTCACTGAAGCAGTCTGTGTGAGCTTAAATGGACTCCAGGAGATGGTAGGGGACAGGAAGGCCTGGAGGAACATTGTCCATGGAGTTGTGAGGGTCGGACATGACTTCTCAACTAACAACAAAACAAGTTAACCTTATTTATTTATACAATGGTAACAGATAATTTTCAAAAACTAATTTTTTTTTTGTGAAATCTAATGTCTTCATGATCTCAAATATTATCGATCCACAAGTATTTCTGTAATACCTCTCCTGAGTTCATACAAACCTGTTTCAGGATCCTATCCCAGTAGTCACCATAGATTCCTCGGTGCTGTGCCAGCTCTTCTTCATCGGCTTCTGTAACTGTGGTGACAGGTACAACTCCAGCAGGGAAATTCAAACCATTGTACAGCATGGTATTAGAGATAGCTGCTATGAAGGTGAACACACAGAATAAAGAGTTAGGTGAAATTAAATATCTTCTCCCCTTCCCTTGGATCCCCCTTTCCAAACCCTTCTACTGGCAAAATTCAGTTATGTAATTCTATCTACGGTAGAATTAACCAACTTTCTAAAATTGGTCTGTTCCATTTTTTTCTTGGTTTTGAAAGTGCAATGATGCTAAAGTCAGCTATACTAGTCATGCCATGGACAGAAAATATTGCCTGAAACCAGATTGGAATCTCTCAGTAAGAATTACATGTAAGCTGTATTCCTATATAAGACTTATATAAGAATATTTAAGAAACTAGGGCGTTCAAAACCTTTGCTAGACCAATACTTGAATTCAGCTCTGCTGTCTGGAATCCGCACTGTATATCAGACATAAATACAACTGAGCGAGTTCAGAAGTATTTTACCGGAAGAGTACTACATTCCTCTGTTCACAACAGAATACCCTATATCATCAGACTTGAGATTTAGGCTTAGACAACCTTGAACTATGCCAGCTAAGATTAGATTTAAGCATAGTACATAAAATCATATGTTACAATGTCTTACCAGTTAATGAATACTTCAGCTTTAACCACAACAACACAAGAGCACACAACAGATATAAACTTAATGTAAACCACTCCAAACTTGATTGCAGGAAGTACAATTTCAGCAATAGAGTGGTCAATGTCTGGAACTCACTACATGATTATGTTGTTACCTCCTCTAACCCCCACTCCTTTACCCTCAAACTAACCTCTATTAATCTCATCCCATTCCTTAGAGGACTGTAAGGGGCGTGCATAAGTGCACAATCGTGCCTACTGTCCCTGTCCTATTGTCCCCAATTATTAGTTCCTATTTCATGTATTTAAACTTATGTTTATTCTTATTTCTATTATATTGTAAGCATTTGACAAAATAAATAAATAAAATTATGAAAATTTCTAGAGCATTCTGACCATTAATATTTCTCTACTAAGAGAATAGCAAAAGCACCATCTTTCGAAGCAACCCTAGTTCGTCTACCTGTGCAAAATTGTTGGTGGATCCTCCTGAAACTTGATATTTTTTTAATGTAATGAACAAGTACACATGATGCCACAGTAAGGCTTACCAAGTATTTTTGAAGGATATCCAAGAAAGAAGGCGGGGCCCAGAACTGGGCACAGGACAACATCAAGCTTGTCTTTTTTCCAATGCTCAATAAACTTTTTCTGATAGACCTGAGCCCAAACAGCAATAGTCGTTAAAGTCCTGACAAAATCTAGGCTTGATAAACTGTAGCTGAGTAATTAAAAATGAGTTGAAAGCTAGCAAAAGTTGTTGCCAGATAGGAAAAATGCAATCAACATGATCTATCTTATAGGAAGGACAGAATAAGATTTGATTTTTAAATGTTATGATCACAACAAATGCTTTTACCATCAATTCATTATGGATCTCCCATAGGTCCTTCACATTCCTGAAAGACAAAATATGTAACATGTAAGCCAAACCTTCTTTAAATATAACAGATTGCAATTCTGCTGAATAATCAAGATAATCACATGTGTGTGCCTGAAACAAGACAATTCTGGGGCCATATAGAAGCAAGATAAGAAGAATATTGACACTTTTGAGCTCTGATGTTAGAGAAAACTCTTGAGGATACTGTGCACAGCCAAAAAACCAAGCCAATGTATCATCAAACTAATCAATCCAGAGTTCTCATTAGAGGTACAAATAACCAAGTTCAAATTATCGTATTTCAGACATGTTACAAGAAACTTAACCCTCTGGCAGATGCTATAATGCTGGGAAAAGTGGAAGGAAAAAGAGAAGAGAATGAGCAGATGAATGGTCTTCGTTACAATGACAATGGGTGCAATGTTGGAACTGCTGAAAGACCAAGTTAGGGACAGCTTGCTATGGAGAAAGTCTATCTACATGGCTGCTAGGAATTGAAAATGACTTGATGGCACACAACCAATGAGATAATCACATATTTTATCAATTATGTCACAGTTGGTGGAACATCAAAATCTTATCAAATAAAATGGCTTAGTTGCTATTATCAAATGGCACATCACAATGCAAAAAAAGTTTTTTTTTTTAAAAAAAATTAATACTTGGGCACAGTGCATAAGTAATGAACGTAATCATATTAATCCTAAAAACTACATTGTTGAACTGCTATTTTTTTTCTTAATGCCAACTCTAAAGATTAATCCCTGTAAGAGATCAAAGGGGCCAAATATAAAGAACATAATTTCGCCATTACCTCACTCCACACAATGCGTCCAGGTGCCCAGCCAGTCGGGGAAACTTAAAAGAAAACAGCATTGAGTGAAAATCTAGATTTATTAGTACTATTGGATTTAGTTTAAAAATTATACAGAATTTCAAAAAACGGAATCTCTGATCTGTAAGGTCTGGCGAAGATACACAATGTTATGTCTGTACTGTTGCAATTTCATTTCTAATTTAAAGAGACCATTATGGACAAGTCCTGAGGAGCAGGTATTCCAACCATACAGACCTGCTGGCTATCAGAGCACTAATCAAACTAGTGATATTGGCAAACAAGAGGCCATATAACTGTAGGGTTTCTTCAACAATTCAGAAACAGCCCAGGACTTCTTCAGCCTCATTATTTCTTCATTTGGGCAGATAAGCTGATAACTTGCACTGCAGCTCTGCATGAGAAATGTAGGCCATTTCCCATTAGTGAGAATTTATGCCTCCCTTCTGGTGTCTTACTTCTGTGTCAAGCTATAGCTCCCCACAGACATGTCCATCATCCTTGTATGCCAGTCCAGCCGTCTCCCATTCACCCACCCACCCCTTATTAGTACGTAAGGGGGCAAAAATATGCTTCCTTTTTCTTGAACAATTAATCAGTGGAAGACAATCATTGGACAATGATTTGTCTGAAATGGCATAAGAGTTTCCTGCTTGAGCAGAGGGTAAGACTAGAAGTCCTCCAACTCTGTTATTCTGTACGGAGTGGAGATTTTCATCATTCTGGGATACGATACTGCCTGCCTGATTTGCACTCTGTTTCTCAGACGAATGGGTTTTCTGCATGCTCTCATCATTTTGAGGCTTGAGGTGATATAGACAATCATAAGGAGCTTCAAACTGTTTTGAGATAAAGTGGAATGGAAATGATAATGCAGAGATCCTGTGAAGGGCCTATAGCAGGGGTGTCAGACTGGCGGTCCATGGGTCAGACGCGTCCCACACAGGCCATTCCCACCCCAGCTCCGCGAATGGGGAAAACGTCACAAAACATCATGTGATGGCAATGTCAGTTTGACTCCCATGGCCTATAGAGAAATGCCTAAAGTCACAATGCACACAGAAGGGGTGTGGGGTTTGCATTGTAATTTCTCAATTCCATCCATCTGAACCCTTTGACTCTCCCCCACCACCACATACACACCCAATGCTGTTGCTCACAATGCAAATATGTTTAAAGACACTTCTATTTCAGTCTTTATACCCCCCAAATACAATAATTCTATCACAAATTTGATCCCATACACACCTAAAGATATCTAAGACTCACCCAGATCTTGGTGAACTTGGCCAAAACTTTCTTCACCAACGTTGGGATTTTAAGGATTTTCACTTGTTCTTTCAAAGCTGGATCCACTATGTCTTTTTGACTGACAGGCAATAGAGAAGGAAAGCAAGATTGGAAATTCACTCTCTTTGTATATAAATGTGTCTACCACAATCATTTACTCTAGCAAGAAGTGATGTTGACCATTTTACAGAGGAAATTGGAGACTAAAGCTATCAAGGGCTGTTTTAGAACAGACAAGTGGATCAGATGTCTTTGCCCTTCTCCCCAACATTTTAAAACATATGAATTTGTCATACTATGTGGAAATTGCATAGTCATGCAAGTACCGATATACTTTCCCCTTAATAAGAAAATGTTAATTCATTGATATAATAAAGCAAATGGTAATGATGATCATTATCACTTCCTGGAAAACAATGGCCTTATGTTAAAATGTTGCTTTAATGAAAACACAGTAATATTGAGCAGTGTCCTTATTTGCTATTCACTCTTTAAATGTTCTTTAGCATCCTCAATAAACTACTTACAACAAGGCCAACAAACTTGAGCCTCCATCTCCAAAAGCACCTCTCAGATAAATTTCATCGATAAAATAATCCACAGAAGGTGGGTTGAAGGGAACTAGCTGCAAATAACAAAGGGGGTTTCAGTTAAACCTCAAAGGTGCCAAGTAAAAACAAGTCTAGATTAACTATTTTCCTGCATGCTGTTTGTCCACTCAATACAACTTTCTCTATACAAGCATACACACACAAAGGGCTCCTCCCAGTGGTTGTTAGTGCTATTCACCAGATCTTCAGCTGACAAGAAAAAAACAACATAAAAACTGCCAGCTGAAGATCTGTCTTCCTAGCCTGCCATTGTAAGGATGCCAGCAAATGCTGATGTCCAATTAAGAGCAAATTAAGGGAAAGGATTGGTGCTTTCCCTGTCAACAAGCCAACAGCTGGTGAGAAAGCACCCACCAATTACTCTTCCTAACAGACTTGGATCTGGATCAGAGAAAAAGCAAGTATTTTTTTAAAAAAATAGACCAGGCAAGGGACTTCAAACTTGGCAAGTTCAAGACTTGTGGACTTTAGCTCCCAGAATTCCTGAGCTAATATGACTGGAGGAGGAATTCTGGGAGTTGAAATCCACAAGTCTTAAAGCTCTCAAGTTTGAAGACCCCCTGGACCAGAGGATGTAGTCAACTGTTAGAAGTTGCTCCAGGATTTGCCCAAACTTCTGGCAACGTATTGCAAGGCTGCGAGAAGTGTCAAGAGGAGGAGTGGAAACTGACACCACAAACAGAAGACAACTGTATTCTTGCTAGATCTACAGTCCAGAGTGGGCATCAGGTTTCCCAGAGAGTGGATTCCCAAGATAGTCAGAACTGGAAGGGGTGGCAAATCATATCTCCCTTCCTTTCCCACCCCATTCAGTTGGGATGAGGAGAGATGGCTCTTGGCCACATCAGGTTTCTTAGCCCCTGAATCTCCCATTCTGAAAGCTGACATTGCAGGTCTCCAAGGCTTGAAGGGAAGGCCAGGAGATATAGGGCACCTAAACCACCAGGACTAGTCTGAAAATCAGTTGAGTGGCTGTAAGAGGGAACATTGTACAATGACATGCAGAATATCCCACTTTAGCACATAATTCCATTGGCAGCTTCCCCCCACCCACCCCACTCATTTTTAAATATGGGCTTTTGATGTTTTAGCTGCTTTTGAACATGGTTGTTCTACAGAAGGGCAGTAAGGATAGGTGTGGATTTCCTTGCTCCTATGGGAAAGCTCCTTCCCCAATCACTTTGCAACTGCCCCCTTCCCACATGAGCATTCAGCTGTAATATTAGGCTTTTCTAAAACAAGGGTTTAGTGCTCTTATGAAACAGCAATAAACCCCTGGTCAACATCAGCCTGTACAACTGCACCACGAAAGCCTACCAGCCTCTATGCTATTCATAGTTAATTAGTAAGAGGCCAATTTTGACCCAACCAAATAAATGGTCAGGAAAGTACACCATTCTGCACACAGAACTAAAATGTGTAGTTTCTTGGCTGCTTTAGGGGCCAATTTAAGCTGAATATGACATTACTGTGACTCAGGTGATAAAATGAAGACAGCATCACCAGGATACAGCAGCCACTGGGTCATATTTATGCTGCAGCTAGGTGGATGTAACATTCCAAGCCACATTGCCTTCCAATTTGTTCCCCTTCTATATTTCCTTTCATCTTTATCAAACATCACTAAGGAGCAAAAGACATGTTGCCTTTCACTTAGGCATGCCAAAAGCCATCCCTCCATATAGAAGCTCACTGACTATTCTGTATCAGACTATTTTACATGCAAATAAATTGTACAGTAAGCAGTAGTAGCAAAGATACACACTGTATGTCCAGCTTCCTGGAGAAGCTTCCTGGTTTTATGCACAGCCCTTCTCATGCAGGGTGGGAGCAAGAAGTAGCCATCTGTGTCATAATACCCAATCCGTAGAGGTGTAGAGCTTGAATAAATCTAGAGCGGGAAAAAAAAATATCTCGGTTACTAACATTAATGGATTGAGAGCTATATCATCAACTCTGTGATGGCACTTTTGTTAATCACATTGTTGTAATTGTCACATTATTAGTAGAACCTGGCATCCAGAGGCTCACAGAGTTGCATGATCTCTGTTTTGGGTGGTGGGATCCTTAGAACAATGGACAAGACTTTTAAATATGTTTCAGCAAATTAAAAAGCATTGACCATGAGAGTAATTCTCAGGTGGCACTACATTCTTCTTAAATTAGGAAATTTAAGTGAAGTAATTTTAATCTAATTAAATATAATGTAATTTTAATGAAATTTTAATATGCAATTTTTCTGGAAGGTGTTGACAGGGTGATAAGCAAGTTGGCTCATATTACTAGCTTTGATGACAGTGCTCAATTAGATGTAGTTTTGATTGAAACTTTCTGAAGAAATTTGGAAAATCTCACAATCTTTACAATGAATCCTGATGTGAGCTAACTTTTTCGTAATGCACGTATACAGTATTAAGGAATTGATTTAATGTCTTTTATTAGCTGCCAGCTTTGTTACTGTGAAAATTAATAATGGAAGATATTGCTCTGGTTGAAGGAGCTTTGAAAAGCATGACAAAGAAGGATATATTTTCTCAAACTGGTGACTATTAGCTATATCAATCTTTTTCCCAGGAGAAATTAAACAGACTTGTCCTTCACACACATGTATGTGTGTAGATATATAATCCCAAAATTGTTCTTTTTTATTTTTATTTTTTTAAATTGTTTTGGGGAGGTTTATTTTTTAGTGTAGATAGGGTCCTATTCTTGTTATACATACATACATACATGTGTGTGTGTGTGTGTGTGTGTGTGTATGAACACTATATGTGTGTATATATATATATATATACAGATGAACACTATACAGAAACCTGATGATGGCAGATGAGATTCTGCCGAAATGTTGCTACAACTTTAAAAGCACAACTACAATGACGTGGGAAAATACCCAAACAAAGCTGAATGCCATACATGTAAGTACCCGCGAAAACTTAAGAAAACATACATACATACATACATACATACATACATACATATATGTAGGTCTAGGTGTGTTCGGGTCTTTTCCTGTGTAAGATTAAGAGTATCTTGGCGACGTTTCGGCGAGGTCCCACTCGCCATCCTCAGGCTGGTGCTTTCGGCTTCATGCCAGTGCAAGCAGCGTGTGATCGGAGCTGCCGTCTCTCTATAAATACTGGTGGTGGGAGCTGGTGTGCTGGGCTGGTTGGCAGCGCTGCTGTCTCTTGATTGGTTGATGGAGTTGATGTTGGTACAATGGGCTGTGTGATGGCCTTGTGAGTTTTGTTGTGGAGATATCCTGGATATTGTGCTGTAATCTCCTGGGTTGTTTGTTTTGTAGTGATCCTTTTTTCATTAGCCTCTTGTGTTTTAACAGCTTGGGTAATGAGTTGTGTGATGGGCTTGCGAGTTCTTTTGTTGTGGTCTCCTGGGTCCTGTGTTGTAATCCAATGTATGTGGCTGGGCAATTGTTCCATGGTATTTTATAAACTCCTTGGTTTTCTAGCTGGATCTTGTCTTTGGGGTTTCTTAGGATGTTGGCTATTTTTTGGTCAGTGCCGAAGGCTGTCCTGATATTGTGTTTGTGGAGAATTTTGCTGGTTTTGTCTGTGGTGCCTCTGATGTAGTGGAGGAGTGTGATACCGTTGTCTTGTTCTGTGTCTGGGTTTTTTTGGGGTATCTCTTTTCGGATTAGGTTGGTTATATATATATGTGTGTGTGTGTGTATATATATATATTCTTAAGTTTTTGCGGGTACTTACATATATGGCATTCAGCTTTGTTCGGGTATTTTCCCATGTCATTGTAGTTGTGCTTTTAAAGTTGTAGCAACGTTTTGGCAGAATCTTGCCAAACGTCTGCCATCATCAGGCTTATCTATCTATCTATCTATCTATCTATCTATCTATCTATCTATCTAT